TATTATAATTATCTCTCATTCTTTCAGATTTCAAATTTCAAGAACAAAAAGAAATCTAATACTATTATTACTTATAAAATTATTACTCTTACAATTACTAAATGATCTAATAATAAATACTATACAAAAAATAAATTAAAAATGAAGAAATAATAATTTCTCAAGAAAATAATATTTTTTAATTTAATAGTGAAATAAATTTATTTAATAATAATAAAAAAAATAAAAAGTAAATATCATAAGTGAAAAAATATTTTTTATTTTTATCAAATTGATAAAATCTATAGAATAATCACATCATTAATAATATTAGTATAGATAATAAAGAAGTATAATTTTATTATAGAAATAAAGAAAAAATTAATTATAGAATAGTAAACAAATATAAAAATCAAATTAATATAAAAAATATTAATAAAAATTATATAATTGAGTAATTATCTGATGTGATATAAAATTATATCAATCTCTAAATTAGTAGTAATATGACTAAAATTATAGAATTATACATTATAATATAGAAATTAGATATGAAAATTAGTTTATATTACAGATTTATTTGTTCAAAAGATCTTCTTTTATATAATTTATCTAAAAAATATATTAATTTAGAATTTTTATAATTATAATCAATCATATTGTTATATTATTATTTACTTTAATTATATTTATCTTGTATTACACTTATTTATAGAATATTATTTATTATAAATAATCTCTATTTAATTATTTAGTAGAATTTATTTTTTTATTATTATTTATTTAAACTCTTTCAAAATATTATTAACATATCAATCAAGAGTAAAAATTATCTTGAAAGATATTATCTTAAAAATAGTTATTATAATATTATCTAGTAGAAGTATTAATTATAATATACTTTGATTAGATCAAAAAATAGTAAATACTATTATAGTTACAAATTCAATAAGAAAGAAATTATTTTTCTATAATAAACTCTCTCAAGTAATAACTGGAAATTTGATATTTTGGTATTGAAAAATTACTAGTAGAACTTATAAATTATTTTAATATATTTCAAAATAAGCAATTCTAAAGCAATTCTAAATTTAAAAAAGTTATTATTAATTAAATTAAAAAGAATAACTAATAATAACTTTAAAAAATTATTGAGTCTTGTAGAAATTTAGTATTTAACTTTAAATTTTATAAAGCAAAATATTAAAGAAGAGAATTCTATTATAATATAAATTTTTAATAAAATATTAATTAGTTATATATTATTAATTATTTCATATCACAATATGATTGAATGAATAATTACTTATATCTTATTGAATATTAACTTTAGAGAATATTATTTTTAGAAAATTTTGCAAATATAATTATTATAATAAAATTATTATAGCAAAGTTAGTAGACTATCATAGTAAAACTAATAATATTATCATAATAAGACTAATATTATAATATTAGTTAAAGTAATATTTAGATTATAATAAAAGTAATATAAGTATTATAATAAAAGATTATTTATATAATTTCTAAAATAGATAAAAAGTGATATATCTTAGCTAGTAAAAATAGATAGTTAATTTATTAAAAAGTTAGTTAATTAATTAGTTTAATTTAAATTTTATAAGTTTAGTTTTTAATTTATATTTTAAGTAAATTATAATTTAAAAAGAATTCTAAGAAATATCTTTTGTAAAATAGATTTTAATTAAGATCTATTATTTTATTTTATTAATAAGCTAATTATTATATTTATCTTTGAAATTATACTTTAAAATTGAATTATATTTTAGCTAATTAATCTAAAAAATATTATTAGTATTTATCTTTAAAAATTATATTAATAATATTTAGTAGAAAATAATATTCTTATTAAAATATTATAAAGAATTCTCTGATAATATAATTCTTAGTAAAAATATATATTTTTGATAGTTTAAAAATCATATTTATCCTTTAAATTTATACTTGCATCAAAAAGATAATAATATAAACTACTTGAAATCAGCTATAATTTAGAAATAATTTAGATATAAATCTGAAATAAATTTTTTTTATTATATTTATCTTATTTTATTATTTATTATTTAATTTTAATTTTATTATTTATATTATTTTTTACTTATATATATATTTTATCTTTAAATTTTATTTATTAATTTATAATTCATTACTTAATTCTTATTTTATATTTATAAATATCTATTATAATTATTAATAAGTTATAAGTAAAGCTTAAATAAATTTATATAATTCTAAATATATATAAATATTATTATTTTTAAATATAAAATAAATATACTTAAATAATTTTAATTCTTTTATACTTAATAATAATTAAATTATATTTATTTTATAATTATTTTTAATTCTTTTATTTTAATAAATTATTTTTAATTATCTTTTCTGTTATAATAAATTATAACTAATTATTTATATTTTTCATATCTAAAAAATATAAATAATACATATTTTTTACTTAAAATAAGTTAAATATTATTTATTTTAATTGACAATATTTTATAAGCTTTTTTATATATAAAAGCTTTTAATTTATTTTTAATATATACTTTTTATTTATCTAATAATTAAAAAGATATTATTAAAGAATTCAGTAAGTATACTAAATTTATAATTTATAATTTATTAGTTTATAAATATCTTTTTTTTATATTTTCATAATTATAATTTTTCTTTATTTATTTTTATTTTGATAATACTTATAAGTATTAATACTAGAAAGTTTTTAGAATAATTATAACTCTATTTGCTTTTATAAATAATTTAGTTTTCATCTCAAAACTTTATTATAAGCTATATTTCAGATAAAATTTATCTTCTTGAATATAATTTGTAATATTTGATATCTTTTTTATAAATTAAGATTTTTAAAGATCTTTTTTATTTTGTTAATTATATTTTATTTATTTATTAATTATTTTAAGAATTAGCTATTCTTGAAATACTTTATTTTATTTAAATAGTTTTATAGTTTATAAGTATATATTACTCTTTTATTAGATTACTAATTGATCTGTATTTTAGTGAATATAATTAAAAAAAATTCTTGAAAATATTTATCTTATATTAAATTAGAAACTTATTACTCTTATTATTATTCTGCTAATCAAAATTAAAATAAAAGATATTAAAATAAAAGATATATTAATTTTCTAAAAATATTATGTAGTTTCATATAATAGAATATTTTAAGATATTTTTGATCTTATAATATAATAAAATTATATATCTATACAACTACAAAGAAAAATTAATAAATTACTTAATATTTTTATATATAATATAAAGTTACAGTTAAATAATAAATTTATTTAGTTAATAACATTCTCATAATTCTTAAAAAGATAAATAATTTTGAAATCTCTTTAACTAATCAGCCTATTGAATCAAAATATAATAATAATAATTTTAAAATATTTAAAAAACTAATTATAATTTAAGTAGTTTAATTATAAAATCTTTAAAACTTAAATTTAGAAGAAAAATTAAGCAAAATATTTATAACTGATATAGATGAATTAATAATATTTCTTGATAAATTAATTAAATTAATAAAAATTTAACAAATAGAAAAAATTCTTATTTAATTCATAAATTTAAGAGTAATAATCAGAATTCTATTAAATAATTATATGATTTTAAAATAACTATCAAAATTAATAAAATTATAAATGATAAAAAATTAAGATAATAAAAAAATATCTAATCACTGCTTGATTTGATTAATAAGTTCTAAATAATAATTATAAATTAACTAACTAAACTAATAAAAATTATGATAATTATAACTTTATATACTATTTTATCTTAAAATTCTATTTGTCTTGTAAGATATAATAATAGTAAAATGAACTTAAAATACTTAAGCAAACTGAAATTATAAAAGAATATATAAATTATTTCATAAAATTAAAAACTAAAGTAGATCCTAAAAAATATATCCAGAAAAATATATAATTTGAATATTTAAGAAAGAACTCAAATCAGAAATTCAAAAATAAATTAATCTTAATGCTGAAGATATTATGAAAAGTATTATTGAAACTGCTAAAAATATTAAAGAAGCTAATTATAATTCTCTTGAATAAATTTATTATCAGATTCAAGTTCAATCAATTAAAGAATGAAGTGTTCTTGCTAAGATTTTACAAGATCTAACCAGTAGGCTGAATCAAGTAAAATCTGATAAAAGATATAATAATCAGAATAATAATAATAATCAATAATGAAATTAATGAAATAATAAATTTGATATTATCTGCTATAATTATGAAGATAAAGATCATATTAGTAAAATGTGTCTCATAATTTCAATCTAAAAATTCACAAAATAATAATCCAAATATCTCTTGAAATTGAAATACTTAAAATCAGAATACTAATAATAGTAATAATATTCAACAAAATCAAAATACTTAGAATACTCATCAGCAATCCAATAATTCTTAGAATATGAAAAATTTTAAAATAATGTGCAACTCAAATTGATAAAACATACCACATCATTTCATTTTCTAGTTTTTTAAAGTCCAACTAATTCAGTTATACTTGATATTAGTCATCTGATTTGTATAAACGTTGATTGGAAAAAGACGTAAGCTTTGGTGCTGGTTGATAAAGATGGTGACAAGAACGCTTTGAAAAAATTTGTTGATTTGAATACATAACATGATCCTTCTGCGATGTGACTAAGAGTATATGGCTCTCTGGTCAGTCTGATATCTTGAATTTTATAAATCTCCATTTGCTATTCTATTATTCATTTAATATAATTTAAGACAAGAAATCTTTACAACTATATTTCTTTGAGATATGCTTTTCCGTTGTTTGAACAATACATTATATAAGTCTCTCATATGTATATCTATTATTACATTATTAACAATCCTTGCTGTATACCCACTCATCGTATGCTCCCTTTCCCCCGCCACTTGTAATATGTTGTAAATCATACATAAATAAATAAATAAAGTAAATAAATAAAGTACAATTTCGGATAATATTCATGTTTTTGATGACAGAGATCGTTCTTGATCTATCACAGTTATATCACCATCAATACCATAATTAACATTTCCATTTTCAGCATTTGTTTCTTCAGTACTATTATCATTATGCGCTTGTAGATGCTGATGATCTACTCTTAAGTCCTGATGAGATTTATCATCAAAAATGAGAATCCTTTGTTCATTATTATCAGCCAAATTATTTGATTTATTGGCTAACATTTTTAAAGGCACATCTACTATGGAATTATTACGTGAATGAATGAAACCGGAATCGCGTCGTTCTTGAAGTTCTTTTGATTGATTGTCGGATACTGGTGTCTCTTCTCTCTCATTTTCTTCTTTTTCTTTCTGCTCCTTTTCTTTTTCTTCCTCTATTGAAAATAAGGACGAAGATAATGTTATCACATCATCGTCATTCTTCTCATTGTTATCCATTTTTGTTTCATCATCATTATTGTCAACATAGTTATTATTGGGATCATAGTTATTATCGAGATTTTTGTCTTCAACAGAATTACTATTTTCAATTGAAGAGGAGTTTTCTTTATCCTCTTGTGTGTTATTATTGTTAATATCATTTTTTTGCAATTCTGCTGTCTCTTCCGGTTCCCTTTCCTTTTTCCCTTCCTCTTTTTTCCAATTTGTTTCTGCTAATACTTTTTCCTCTAGTTCTTTTTTCCTCGCGATCTATTTATTCATTATATTTATTTATCGTTAACCAAAAATTTAAAACGACGAGCAAATCACATTGATAATACCCGTACCGCATCTTCAATTGCTTTCATCATTTTCGCCTTCAATTTTCTATAGTCATCCAATTTGTACAAGCATTGATTAAAGAAGGATGTAAGCTTTGGTGTCGGTTGATAAAGTGACGATTTATTCGACGAGAACGTTTTGATTTCTGATATGAACAATAACAATCATTTAAGTTTTGTTAATGAAGAAAAACAAATAATACTAAAGGATTACCTTGTTCGCAATCCTTATCATAAAATTTTAGTAGTTCTTCATACTATTTGAATTTTTTTTTTTTTTGAATGAAAATGCGTCTTAAAACTACGTAAGTGACGTTTGCATTTCCAAATATAGAGACAAACCTTGTTGATGTGTCCGCCACGCATTACTTCCCCAAAATTTATCACTGGTTTAGTGTCTATTTGTATGTTATAATATACATAAATGTTATCTTCAAAATCCACGTACAT